TAAATATCCTTAAAGTAATAAAATAATTCTAGTAAGAAGTCATGACCAGTGGAGTCCACCCGGTCGGGACAAGTACTCACCAATGACATTGGCTGGTGGTTGTGATAAAGTCAAGAATTGGTAGAAATTAGAATTTAGATGGGTCTACGAGCTTGACTTGTAACCGGTAGGTCCTAGGTTCGAAACCCAGTGAGTGAGTACTTACGGTGATTTCCCAAACTAGGACGAAACATCTGCCCTCCCTGGTTTCCATTGGTTCTGTAACTGGCATCAATCTGTGACCATAGTTGAAACAAATCAGATCCCTACAAACTTACTCTGTTTAACTCTAATTTTCTATTTTCTCAGTACAAATATGAAATTTTGAAAAGATGCCGACAATAACTAAATAGCCTTAATCACTGTTCCAATCAGTCAGTTATGTAGACCGTAGTAATTACAACAGTAGTGATAAAATTAATAATAATACTAGTTTAAATGTAGATTTCATCAAGAATCAATATCAATTAGAGATTACTGGACACCAGGTAGTACTGAGCATCACTGTTTCCTCTTAGTTTTCAAAGACTAATAACCAGTGTTGGTTTGTGGTGAAATCCACAGTGAAATTTATCCAAATCCCACAAATATAAATATCAGTCTCCAGCGGTTCATCGATGGCTACTGGATGGGCGTCCTGAAGCAGTACTGAGAAGTCGTAGCCACTGAAGCCCAGCATGGTAAAGTGAAGTGGATTCTCACAGAAGGTGTTAGTCGGCTGTAGCGCTCTGTTATGAACAGACAGAAGTAAGAATTCGCGGGCCTAATTGGCTGAATGGTCAACCAGCTTGGTCTCGTAGCCTGAAGATCCCGAGTTCTATCCCCAGTGGGGTGAAGAGTCCGTGGTTCCCTTGTTTTCAGTGATCTCCCTAACTGAATAATATATTTAAGCTAGCTAGCTCTATTTTACAATTTACGATGTACCCATTTCTTGAAGGTGCTTAATTTCATTCAGTTAAAAATTCAAGAGTGAATCAATTATTGATGAAATGCGGGAGAAATAAATAAAAATAAACAAAAATAATAACAATGATGATTAGTTGATGAATTAATAATTGTACTACAAAATAAAAAGAACTAATAGTAGTTAAAATAAGAGTTAACTTAAACAGATGTGATCATACTTGTAGACAAAGGTTGTTTCTGTTTACTTCAGGTCATCCAAGTTTACGTAATAACACAACAAAATAAACGCACGCAAGCTAACAAACAAACAAATAAAATAAGTAAATAAACAAAAAGAAAGGAGAAATAAGCTGGAGAAATAAAATATATACATATATATATATATACGACTGATCTATCTATGCTTATGTCTTATTGTCCTTAGTTTTGTTAACACTTATTGGCATAGTGAAATAAAGTAAATCCTACAGAAAGTAATTAGTGTTACGCGATGAATAAAACTACATTTATAGACTATTTAGTCATTAGGAAAATTTCGGTGTCTAGGTTTCTTAGTTGTCGGCACTCCTCAGCAGGGATCACAAAAGGCCTGCCTTGCAAATTTGCTTCATCTTTTTGATACAGACGTTTTATTATTATTCCCTTGGGTTCCAAGTGGAAAATAGGGCTTCAACAACACATCTTCACTTTCTTCTATTTTCTCCTATCCTCTTCAGCTGGGTCGACAGTTACCCATAATCTCTCATCTCCTGCTCACATCCAACGATCTCCTCCATGTCATTCTTGGACAACCCACTCATCGCTCCCCACTGCGATTCCTCTCGAGCGATGGCCTGGCTGGTGTGCGATGTCACTTGACGGCCTCCTCAGCGTGTGCCCAACCCATCTCCATTTTCCACTACACATTTGTTGAGTAATCGTCTCTTCGTTGGTTTGTCGCCAGAGTTTCTCCTTGTTAATTCTTTCTAGCCATAGGGTCTTCAGTATAGTGAAGCTAGCCAAGTGGGCAGCTGTTGGTAAAAGTCTTCAGCAGCCTGTTGGAAGTCCTTTTCGTGAGACACGTTTAGAAGAACCGACTAGCTGACTTCACGTTTGTATTGAAAATCCAAATTACAGACGTGATATCCGCTTATTGATCAAAGAGTGTGTTTGTGTGTAGCACAGAAGTTTGCTTCGTTCTTTTTTATGTCCGTTAAAAACGCTCTCTGAAAGTGACAAATGTAAAGAGGCTAGTCATTATTAACCATAGATGTGTGCATTTATTATTTGGTATTAAATGGTGTAGTATGATCAAATTAAGTAAAATCTGGCAGAGACTGTTAGACAAAAGAGAAGTCAGTCTATGAGAATGAGGAGGTGGATCAGTTAAGCATGCCAAAATATCAGTGCCCTCAACACATAATTTCACCCAAAGAAGGATTGTACTGGAAAAAGTAAGGAGTAATTAGACTAGTTCATGAAGACTCTAACTGTTGATTTCAATCACATAAATAGATCTATACTGCCTGACTCAAGTCCATGAGATATTGAGAATTATTGTTCAGAGAATGTTAGTAACATTTGGTGAAGTTACTTTCACTAACGCAGATTCTTTAATTACTCATTATTCCTACCCAGTATTATTTTTCGACATTCTTTTATGTTTACTTCTTTGATTTGTTGCATTTTGTGCAAAGTTTTAGATTGATAATTTACTTCAGTTCAGTCAGTAATAGTGGGTTTATATACTTTCTTCATAATGTCAACTAGTCTTACTCAATGGAATAGCTGAACATTGTATCACTAAGATAGCGTGTGCAATTTCACTAGTTGGCCCAAGCACATTATTACACAGTATCGCCGCGAGGTTTACAAATAATATTTTCATGTGTATTTATTTTTCACTGAATAGAATTCATGGTCACCCAAATTTCACTTCGTTTTGTAAATGGCTAGGTGTTGGTCGCGTTACTAACGAACGCCATGATGTGGCGGCTGTAAAGAGTTTTTCAAATAACTAGCTAGCTATATTGGATAGCGCCGGGTTTAGAAATTGTTTACACGAAAATTGTACATCCCGAGCTACCTTGCGGTGATATGATCCTAATACGGATGCACTTTCAAAAACCGCTTCTAACAACTCTTGTGTCATCAGCCTGTAACAGTTGCCACCCAGGCTCTGACGTCAAGTAATACTGCCTTTTCTGTTTCAGGTACTCCACGGAGAAACTTCCATGTTGTGGGCAGTCAGGAAGTAACGACCACCCACATACATCCACAAGCACACAAAGCATTTCCCCTTCAGAAACGTAAGCTGACATTCCGAGGTTAGGTCGCTCATGAGGACGAAGGTGTGTGTTGTTGAAGAGTAGCAAACCAGAGTGAAACAACTGTCCCGTACTCCTGATGTAACAACAGAAGGCAAGACACGGAAGCCAAAGAATATTTCATTAATTATACCGCTGTTTATATACCTACAGTTTATATTCTTTAACGAATCAATGAGCGTGTGATTTCGGTTTACATGAAACGACATGAAATAGACTGTTCAAATATAAATAGTATTCTTTTCTTAATGTAGCATATAACCGTTTGAAAAGTACTTTGTCTCTAACATAAAACAGAATGTTCAAATAGATATATTGTATTCTATTGCTATTGCCGACTTGAACTGTGGGAATATTTGAGAATCATATTCAGTTGGCGCACATTATCTGTGTCACAACACCACACTTAGTAGCATTCACTGGTTCTGTAATCGGTATCACTTCGTGATATAATTTGTGATGAGTTTGGTCACTGATGAGAATTCTCTTAACAAACATTCAATTCAATCTAACAAGGTCAATTTGTTGAGATGTTGATACAAATTGATTTAACTTTTGTCCAGATAATTTGTGCATCGGAAAACGTATTTACTCTTTTGCTGAATCTAAAATACTTCTTCCGTCAAGTATTTCCTCGTCTCAGATTAACACTGTGTTCAGTGAAAATGATAAGTGATGAATCTTATGTGGTTTAGACAGCTATTCATGATCAATGTCAACTGAGGGAGGAAGAGATTGAAAGAAAGTTATGGGTAATTTAGTTGAAAACATGGCATCAATGCATAAAGTTGTTGACTATTTGTTTGCGTTGTTTAGGTGCCTGGTTGTGATATTCAAGAAGCTAAAGATTGGTTACATTCATACACCTATCATATCATTCATCATTTCACTGTTAGGCTGTGGGCTCTGGTGAATTTTAGTAACATGAAGTGATATAATATGTGTGCGAAAGTCTACTAGTCAGTCCCAGAATGTTATGGTAGAAATGATCTTTGTAATATTAATGATGATGTTTGGGAGAAAGGTTTCAGTGTTATTGTTATGATCCTTACTGAGAGTTGAAAGGGGATATTAGTCATCATGTGATGGTAGAGTTAAGACATTTATTTTTAACGTAGCTACATTCTCTGAACTGGATGGCATATTTACAGATCCACCTTTATTGTCACCCTCTAGACAACACCTTCAGTTCCAGCTTTAATGTAAAGTGACCCTCAAGAATTCACCATGAATGCAATAACTGTCTGTCTCCTGATGTGGTTGAACGAGATTAGTCTTCTTCGGATATTTTCTTATTCTGTTGTTTTCTTGTATTACTACTGACCACTTTCAATGTCAATAGAAGAAAATCTTCAGAGACAACAAGTCACCTTCTGCTTCAGGTTGAGGAAATTTAAAAGATCACTTTACACTGATGCTACTGCAGGAAACCTTGTCCAGAAAGACACCAAAAATAATCCACTTGAGCTGAAAATCTACGCTTATTTTTTCAGAGTTGTTGGTTTAACTGTTAGACTTTATGTATAAGACTATGATAGTTTGGAAATCTGATTACTCTAAGTAAAATATTAGACCTAATATTTTCTTCAAACAGGAGGTTTGGCTCATTGTTGAGTTCAGAAAGTGATGTATGCTATACAAATTACACTGCATAACAATCTTGATATGACGATTTTTTCCGGTGCATTTATAATTTAGCAGTAATCAGCATTTCTTCCATCAACTCTTCTGTTCTTCATTTCTATTTAGACTTTAAATATTCATGAATTGGCTTCTACGGGTCAACCACTTTCTCCACCTTCTACGCCTCCTTTACCCTTGTCAGGTTCATTACTGTCCAACGGGTCACTTCTACCGACAGTGATAAATTCATCACAGAAAATCTATTCATCAAAATATCCTATAGATAATGTAAATAAAGCAATCTCTTCAATAGAAATACAGAATAAATTTAATTGTACATCTGATACAGCTTTAAATCAACCGGTTACAAATTTGTCTAAACATGCTACGTTGAATAGCACTACTGATAGTGACAATCATAGTAGTAGTAGTAGTAACTGTGGTATACGTTGTGTAAATAGACAATTGAAACATTCACCTTTACGATGTAACAATAACCTATTGAATTTCAATGCAAGTTCTAATTCGCTTCAATGTAATTCGAATACATCTGAATCTACTGTTATCGATAATAACACTGGTGCTTCAAATACTATTAATTCTATTCGAAACTATTACGACAATACTAATGCTATCTCCCGTTCAAAATTACCATCAAATTTAAATCGCCCAGCGTCAATAATTAATCCTGTTTTTATTAATAATAATGATCAACGTTCTAATAATGGTGTCATTTGTGATAATGAAATACGCGTAAATACAAATTATGCTATGAATTACATTAATAACTATAATATTAATAATTCATATCACTCTTTAAATCGTCGTCATAATAATAATCCCTTGAAAATTGGACATCATTATTTACAAGCAAATAGCGTACAAAGAATATTTCAAAATGATATTTATCCATTAAATTTAAAAGATATAAATTTGCCAGTTCATTTAAACACTAACAATACATTGAACGCCAATGTGAGCAGTCATAATGTAAGCATTATAAATGGTGTTTATAATCACACCTTACCAACAAATATACAAAATCACTTCAACTACTGTTTTCCTGATACTTATAACGATGTTGATAATGATACAATAATAATAATAATGAGAATTATTATCAGTTAAATGAGATAACAGAAAAGAATCAAACATTATTTCAAAATTATGATGAAATCAGCTTTCAAGAAAAAGATAAATATCGTTATGATGTCAACTGTAAACCAATGTTCAAGTGTTCAACCCTTATTTATATGGCTATGAATTCATTGAAAAAGAATAAAATAACATTGAATGATATATGTCAATGGATTCAAGTACATTTTGCATTTTATCGTAATTTAAAAGATATACACTGGCAAGTAGGTGATTATATTATTATTATATATTATTGTTACTTTTATTGATTAAGCACTTGATTGGCATTCATTTTTCAATGTTCATCCGTCATTCCTTTTACTCATCGAGTGGAATAGAAAGGGCTTCAGGTAGGAACTTCAAAGTCTCAGTAACAATGGTGGTGTTGTTTTCACAGCGTGAGATCCATAGACTCATGTTAAACTCTCTCTCTCTCTTTCCTGTTTGTTACCGGCTAGTAAACCAGTCAGTGTTAGGTAGTGTATAGGCTTGGAATCGGACCCGGACCATGTAGGTGGCCGGTGGGCATTCTACCGCTGAACCACAATGATATCGTTGGAGATAAAAACCACAGATTTTGAGCTATGATGAGAGTTCGTCTACTAATCATCCATTTTTTCTGACATCTAATGACCAATGGGTCATTATTGTACTTTAAGAGAAATTCTACGGCATGTAGGGGATTATTATTCACTATTAAAGAAGTTTTTGTATTCCTGAATGAATGAAACAACAAAATAATGTTCTTGTTTTTACTGACATTCCGCTATATAATGCTGATAGTTTTATCAAAATAACATTAGGCCTGAATTTACAAACTCTCAGCTTATATACACCAAGTAACTTAATCGTAGTTCTTCAGAATGAGTTAATTTCATTTCCAAGTAGTCAAGTGGGTAAATTGGTGAAGACAGATAAGTGTATGAAATTATAAAAACAGTGTGTCTTTACATAAGACAATTGATCATCATATTTGTGTTGCTTATATCGCTTCAAAGAGGTGGGGTTTTGTAAACAGGTCAAATTCTGTCTTAATCTGTCATTCTTATTCAGACCGTTTAGATCCTCTTTCAAGTGAAAGACTTCTAATATGACTTGAAATTTTTGTGGGTGACTTCGGTATTGTCAGAATCAATTTTGTGGTCTAGTTCTATAACATGTCAGCCCACGCCTGACGATTTTTCAAGCTTTTCTGGTTTCACTAGAATTCTCGGCGGTTAAATTAGACCTCTGCAGTGTTCATTTCTTCTGATGTTGATTTCTTGTGTGGTTTGTTCAATGTTTATCACACCTCATACTATGCATTTTATTTTACAGATACAGTTAGACTGTGAATCCATTAGAATTCGGTCTATCACATGAACAAGTTTTCTTCTTAGTGTGTTTGGTGTTTTCAAGAACACTTTGTGTTGCGTTTATTGAATACTCTATGGATTCTATTTGTTTGACATTATCACTATCAATGTTATCATCATTATTTATGTGAACTGTAATCAAGATTTGACCGAATGGCTCGACAAACAACACTGAGCGCCAAGCAAAAAGTAGATATCTGCAAAAATTGTATTCATATAAATCTCAGAGTCTCGTTTGCCATTCTGGTTCAAATTTCTCCAAGAACTGTATATTTACAAGCATATATTTCCAAATACAGACCCTCTTAACACTCAGCATTACATTTCAAAGCTTACTTACCACAACAGTATTATATTCTTGTTACTGGCTTCAGATATGAATATCCTGTCGTGTTACTAACAAATTTCATATTATTAACTAATCAGGCATCTTGCAAAGAGTTTTAAAATAATTCCAACATCTTGAATTATTGCTTTTATTAAAAAGAAGAATGAAGTCACTTCTATACAGCCTAAAAGCATATTATATTTATTTGTGTTTATTACTCCCTTGGGTTCCGAGTGGAATATCAGACTTCAGAAGGCCATCTCCATTTCATTCTGTTCTGTGAAATCTTTCTTAGCTAGCTGCATGATTGCACGCAAGCCTTAATTTTCCGCTCACACGAAATCCACCATGTCACACTCCGACACCAACTAGTCTAATCTCATTCGGGTTCCACTCGTGGGTCTGCTTAATGAGCGATGTCATTCAGTGGTCCTCTTAGCGTATGCACAATCCACCCATTTCCATTTCCCTGCGCATACTAGTTTATAGATAGTTTCTTGGTTGATTAGTTGCTCACCACCTAATGTTCAGTATGGAGGGAAAGCAGTTGTTCATGAAAGTCTTTAGTAACCTGTCAGAAATGATTTCGATGCATCATGTGCTGAAGGTCTCTGAACCATATAGACGCAATGACTAACTTGACATTAGTGTTGAATATCTAAATCTTGTACCTAGTGCTAAGTAGGTTGCCTAAGTGCAATAGGTTTTCATTCTGATTTCAGAGTAATGAACGCCAGTTTTGTTTTTTCAATCCTGGTTGATTTTGACATTTTTATCTGTGTCACACGTAGTTGAAACGATGCCACCTAAGTAAGTGAAACAGTTGACTTCCTGTAGATTTCTCCCGTTGATAGTTACTAATGACAATAAAGTGTAGACGATCTAATATATTTGAATAAATTATAAATAAAATGTAAGAGCAAATTATTATTTATGTCAGTTAATTTTACCAGTAAGATAGTTGAAGCTCATCGGCAAAAAACAATGGACCAAGGTTTCGTGATTATTAGCTCTCATCAGTAAGGTGTGTCTGCAACTGACTGCTTCCCAGTAAACAATTAATAGGAGTAGTACAGTTTGCTGCATGAGGTCAGTCATATGCCCAAACAGCTTCGTGGAACCACCTATACCTGCAATACTAGGCAGAATTGGTTGGAATATCTCCAGGAAGACAACACTTCCTTTGACGTCGTAGGTATGCCTTTTTCATGAGTATCAAGAAGCAGGAAACCCACATCCAGAGCGCTTCCTACCGACTGCCGCTAACCATGAAAAGTTGTACTGTAGTTCTGAATCTTAAAGCCAAGTGACTCATAGCATTCACCCAACACAGACATTAGGAAAGACTTTGAAAAATGATACTAGTTACTGTTTTATTAACCCAATAATATAATTATATTAATTTATTTTGGTGAATTTATTAAGTTATGTATTCTTTTATCACTGTTAGGATGTAATTCGTCAACATCTCACACTTAACCGATGCTTTCAACGTGTCCCAAGGCGTAAAGAAGAACCGAATGGTCGTGGTGATTTATGGCGTATTCATCCAGAACTACAAAATCAATTAATACAGAATAAAATTCATAAGAAATATTTACAATTATGGCAAAATAGTAATAATAATAATAATATAATATCTAAATTACCTGATTTACTAGATTTTGTTGAACAACAGACATCTACTACACCAAAGTCAATGTCAGCATCACTGCAATCGGAGGATATGTATCAAAGCATTAATAGTGATTCATCTTCAATCCAAGTCAATGAATCCTACGAATTATTAGATAACCTTTATGACAATTTAAATGAATGCATGAAGAAGCGTAGACGAATTAGCTCTTCCTATGATGCCTTTATAGAAAATTACAATAGTAATTATAGTGACAATAATATTAATAATACAATTTTAAATGATATGACAAAATTACCTATGAATAGCATCTCTAATGATATAACATCACAATCGAATTCTAGTTCATCTCCAGCACTATCCGATTTGTATACAACACCGACGACAACAGATACAACACCCCCACCGGAATTACTACCTGAAGATACATCACCAGCCTTGTTGTTGGAAAATGAATACTATCTGAATGCTTTCGGTGTAAGCGATCTCGGTGGTGATGTTAACGGTTGCGGTGCTGATGATGTTGATGATGAATTATTAAGGAGTGATGCGTTACACCATTCGTGCAGCGTGTATAACACCTCACCACCAAAATTAATTGAACAAGAAACATGCGATGATTTGGATGCATTATTCCCTGATAGCGGAGATGATCCCTATCATAATCACGATGATGATGTTTGTAATAATGTCTGTGAAATTGAAGAAACACACAAATCTGATGAACAAAGTATCAATAGTATTGATTTTATTCCATCTAAAATGAAATTAAACGAGTTAGATAATAGAATAGTTGTAGAATTATCAAAAGCCAGTGGTTTGAATGATATACCTCCATTGGACGATCTGGTTGATCCACTCGACTTAACTATACGTGGGCATGGCGTCAAATATACACCTGATTGGTGGTCAAATAATTTAACTGAATCAATGACTAACTTTATTAATGGCACATTAAGCGGTCGTGGCGGTGGTGGTGATGGCAATGTTACTGGAGATGAAAACATCGTAGGCGAACATGAAGATGTTGAGAAGATCAGTGATGATGATGATGACGCAATTACATCGTCTATTTTCTCATTAACAAATGATGAAATGCCATTACCGTTAGAGTTGACTGCGGCAGCGGTAGAAGAAGCGTCACTGTCATCGTCAACGTCATTAAGTCCTTGTCAGGTGACATCTTCAGGTTCAGCATTGTCATTACCATCGACAACAGGAATACAATCTACACCACCAGTATTAATGACTATCCTGCCTGAGTGCGATGATGTCACCAGTGATTTCATAAAACTACCAACATCATTACAGGATTATGCATTTTTCAGTAATAATATACCGTTGACTACTACTAATAATAATACTACAACAATAGGACATCATGAGAACGCCCTACTCGAGAATCCACTTGATGACAATGATCACCTCCAACAACATATCCAACATCAACGTTGGATTGAAAATGAAGTAAATCTTGACGATCTTGATAATATTCTTGGACTTTGTTAAAAACGGAACAAAAATGAAGCGTGAGGACAATGCCGTCACCCGGCATAGCTGATGGAAATGCACGAAATTCTATAATTTATCACTTATTATATAGATGAATATGTATTTAATCGGTTTATGCAACATTTTAGGTGAATTTTAATAGGATATTTTTTTTAAACTAGTCAAATGGAGTGTTGTTTTTGATTCTTCCAGGCTAACCCTCTTTTCTGTGATGTTATTTTCGATTAATGTGATACGACTTTAATCATTACTACTGCTACTATTATTATTGTTGCTGTTACTGTTACTGTTTATATTTTCTAACACCTTATTCAACCTCAGAGTTATTCATCTCTCTCTCACCCCTAAACTCAAATAAAATTACAGTATAAATGAGCCCATATACACATCCAGAAGACATATTTAAACTGCGCGCACAAAATTCAGAGTTTGATTATTTGTTTAATTGTTTGTTTATATCTTGTTGTTTTCAATATGTCAATTGTCAGTTTCATACACATATTTTGACCTTATCTGTTTAAGAAAGTTGTTTTTAACTGTTAGCATTATTATTATTACAATCATTATTATGAGTTCATAGGAATTATTAACTACAGATTTCATGAGTACTTGAAAAATACATCATAATACTTCTAAATAAAAAAAACAAAACAATAAAAGTTGTTTTGTTACTTTAAATCATTGATGGAGGTTTTAACCGTTTTTTAGATACTTAATTTCATTTTATTTGTATTTTACATCCTGTACGATTATTTTATGAGGTTTTGGTTGACTTGAATTGCCCCTGCTTTTGTGTGCAGTGGTCCAGCTTATGCAAACATTATAATAATTGGGGGTATTGTTTAGAAAGAAACAAAGGATGTCATTGTGCTGTATTCAGCTTAATATTTGATTCGAATTATCACCAGTCATCCATATATACGCAGCCTTGAGAAGTTATTCAAAATTCTGTTATTTTACCATCTATCTATGGATGGATGGATGGATGTGTGCAGATAACTTCTTCGAAATGCATCTCTTCTAATCGTTTTTCATATACCTCTGATGCACTGACTGAATCTTTCAAACAAAATCAAAAACTCATAAAGATGTCTACGCGTTTCGCTTGTGTTGAAAACATTTATCAACACTGTATGCCTTTAAAGAATAAATATTAAGATAGAATTAAATATGCAAATGCTTTCTCCGCTTGTTAAAATAAAATATATAACCAGCAGAAGCATACATATGTATATATATAAATGTATATTTTTGGAAATGTTGGATTTAAATAAACCAGAAATCGTATTGTTTTAATCATCTTTTTCCCATTTTATGCTCTAAGTTTTAACCACTGAATGTGTAAAAAATCATCAGAAGGAAGTCTTGGATTCACAGTTCTATCTGGTTGTTTGGCACTCGTCCTCAAGATGTATTTGTAACTTTGAAAGGAACAGAGATGTCAGAGAAGCTACCAACGAGCTATATAAGCCTAAAATTCACCTTCTGGAGGATTGTGATCAGTACATTGATTGATCACACCGGGGAGGAAAGCCAGTGTCATGTGTCTATTCTGTAGTGTTGGTTATGAGAGAAGTCAGCCATGAGTGTATTATGGCGTCACAAACTGACTGATTACTATTCCTTAACATGTATATGTTAACTTGTGCCAAGTCTAGTGAAGGAGTGACACTGGAAAATTCACCAGATAGGCAGTGTGAAACGGCAGTAGACAAAACAGTTGTTAATTGAATGTGCACTGGAACATTAGTATCTCTATATAGCCAAATTGTGTACACCTTATCTTCAACGCACAATTTGCACAGATTTTCGTTTAGTGGTACTTTTGGCCTTCATATTGTTTTTTATGTTCCTTTTACGTCTCCTATGTATCTCCACAAGGCTGCATGATTATCCTTCTCTGACATCAAATGTATTTCCTTGCTATTAGATGTTTTTTATGCCTATGAACGTCTATTTATATACTACTGATGAATCTTATCAGTAGCACTAGCCACACGTATACTGAGTAGCAGTCATCTATGCATTAAGACTTTAGAAATTTTTTTTTTCAAATTTACAGAATTTTAATTACAACCTCCTTGATCCCTCCGCTAACATTTCATACAAACAACATGACAAACTAACACAGTTGAAATTAGGAGAAGTGTACTAGGTGACGAAAGCAAACCAGTCAACGTAGTCGACCATCTTACTAAGATATTTAAGGTTTTTGGTATAAATGCTAAGCTGTAGCCTTTCCAAACAGGGAAGATGTCAACTGCAGCAGGATTCCGAGTGAAAATGGTAATCATATTGGCAACCACATCAAAAATCATGACATTAACCAATCACTGAATTTTCTCAATACCTCTCTCTTATATATGAAAGTTGTAGGTTGTCTGGATAGAATGCATCGGATGATAAGTATCAATGATTTAATTCTCTGTGACATTCACAGTTTTGCCGTGTTCACACTGACTAACACGTTTTCATCAAACTTCATTGAAGTTGAATCATCGATTTTGTCTCACAATCAATTGAGATGAGCTCATTTTAGTATTACTTCGCAATTCATCAACTTTGATTCCGGACAAAACTTCACGCTTTATCAACAATCTATCGAAAATATTAGCTTTTGAGGGAAGATAGTCACTGTTACCACTTTCTTTGATGAATTCTATTCGTAGTCAAGGTCAAAAAGTTAATTTTGCAACTGTTCATTCTAGTCAAATTCTTGGCTGTAAGCTATAAGAAGTTAAGTATAAATTTTGATTAAACACTAGGTAGCAACCAGTATCATGTGTCCAGTCCTTTTGTTTGGTGCAGACTGAATTCTATCCTTCAAGTTTACAGTATGGCCATCATAACATGAGGTTGCTCACTATCATAGTGCATTCTGAATTATTGTTAGGTGGTTGGAAGCTTTCAACCTTGGTTAGCACTTGCCAACATGATGTCTTTGCAATCTTGAAGTAGATTGTATCCCTTCTGAGATTCATACCTGTGTCACCAAGTGCTGAATCAGAGACGTTATCACTGAGCTCCTGCAGGACTGTAATGGATACTCTGATTGGACATTAGGTGGTAACTGATGTCATGCGTCTGATTCCTTTTTCTGATGAAAAACTGAATTCTATCATTCCAAGGTTTCCTTCCTATTGCTTCCAACCAGCTAAAAGCTCTAATACTTAAGTAGGAATTTTATTAGAATAGTGAAATGTACCAATCAAATGGTGATAAATTTATCAACAACAATTGGCGATATTAACTTATCAATGGAGTGATTATTAACCAAGAAAGTTAATAGGATAATAATTGAGGAGGCGAAATATTTTCATAAATTTGACAAGTTGATTACACAGTGCATAATTTTGTAAAATAAGAGGAATATTTAAGAAATAAATGGAGTTACACGGTTTCATCATGAGCTGATATCAGTGACATCATGATGAAATCCTGTAACCAATCAAATCCCCTCAGAATAAATGAATGTTCGAATTGGTTACGTAATAAAAAATTAAGGATGAAATATATTCAGAATAATAGAATCGTTAGAACAATGATAACTTGCAAATGACTTAAGTGGACGGACAAATTGGCAGTTTTTCACATTCATGTAATGAAGGTCAGGGTAAGGAAAATGACTGCACCAATTTAGTCTAGACACAGATACAAGTTTGACTTCTTCTGGTGGATTCCGATGGCATTAGCTGTATGTAGGAAAATTAAGAATAGTAGGAATTTGACATCAGACTTATGTTCAGTATCTATAGGGTGAGTTGAAACAGAGCTAAGAACAGATCAGGTTTGTCCCTTACTTAACCATGCAGGATGATGATATTCATTAATCCAATAAGAAAGATAGCCAATTTCACACCCTATGTAACTGGTCCCCAAGAAGCCTCTCAAACTGGTAGATACACATAGCGGAGGTGAAGTTAGATAGTTTATCTTTATTTCAAGAACATAAAACTGAATCACATTGAAAAGTGAATATTTCTTCACTCATTTTTATTGTCTTCTAAATATCTCAATGGGGATTTTCGTTATATATTGAACGGAGATAAATTGTATATCCACAAGCAAAAGAGGGTTTGCAAATGAGAAAATAAACTTGAAGAATAAATTATCAATATTTGCATATATTTTATTTGACCTTAGAAATTAACAATATGACGGTGACATTAATGATGTAAGCTTAGAATAAGGCTATATATTTATTGCTTATCATATATAGTACACAAATGAAGTATTTACACTAGTAACAGTTAATAGGCAGAAATACAATTGTAAATACAATCAGATATCAATCAGCATAATAATGAAAAGACAGCTCTTCAGAATACGATTATACAAGTTTTGAGTGCTTTTATTCCACTTTAGACGTGTTCTCTATCCCTACACACATTCGATGCCTGACTAACTTAGTAAAGAACAAAAAGATTCTCTTAGTATATGATGCGACTAAACGAAGTTGGATGTGTTGGTATGGATCATGTACTGAAGCTTCCTCGACCTAGTTGGGGAGATTCAACATCCTGTAGAATAAATGCCTTGATGACTTTTTATAGTGGTCTACACAGCAGTATTTCTGGTAACTTACCCGTAACTGTCCTCCTATTTCCTTCATCTTGATTAATTCTCACACAAACTTGAAGGTCTACAGACGAAAACCAGTAAGTTGGCAGATAAGGCTGAAAGCGAAGGCAGCAGTTCTAGTGAAAGCAAAAGGTTTGAGCGAAGAAATATTCACTTTTCAATTAGATTGTCATCTCTGACTCTACTCTAATATATATCCATGGCATTTTTATTACAATACACAACAATTTACCAATCAAGTGACAATATGTTTGTTAACAATAATTAGTCAGTATCAACATGTCAGGGGGGTGACAGTTCAAGAAGAAAATTAATACACATAATTAAAGGTTAGAAATACTTACGAAAAGTGGATTGCGTAATGCATAATTTTGGAAGGATGGAGAGTGATTAAAGAATATGAGAGTGTTTAAGTT